TGGAAAATTCAGGAGCAGCAGGAAAGGGAAGCAAGGAGCAGGAGCAGAGGGATAACCCTGGGAATGCTTTAAAATCCCAGGGGTTTGATCCCCTGGGTATTTAATCCCAAATCCTGCCCAGATGCCACTCCCTGCTCTGCTGGTGGTTCACCCTCCTGGACCCCCCCATCCCAACCCCTCATCCAACAGAACATTCCAATTATCCCCCGTGAGTGACCCCAAAGCCCAGAGGGGTTTGAAGGTTTGGCTCTCCCGTGTCAGCCCCTCCATCCCAGGGGCCATCCAGAAACACCCAGGAAAGGATGGAATTGCTTTACCAACATGGGAGCTCAGCTCTCCCCCAGGAATTACTACCCTTTGTGCCAGATTTAGACCCCAAACCCAGCTATGCTGGAGGAACAGCCCACGGATCCTGAGCCTTCCAGAATCCCTTTTTCCAGGTATTGATCCGAACCAGCTCATTTGAAACCAGTCCCCCAATCCCACGTCTGTCAGGCACTGAGGTGGGGTTTAAGGCCGTGTAAGGTGGATATTTAAGGCTTCAAATTCCACAATGATGCCCCTTGGAAGGTGAGAGGAGGAGTCAGGGAGCCCTCGTGCCCCCCTGGGGGTTGTGGCCATCCCTCCAAAGTGGTGCCATCGGTGTCACCACATTCCCTGTGACCCCTCCCTAAGGCACACCCGGCGAATCCCCACTGCTTTGGGAAGCGGCAGCGCTCCTGCCCCTTTCTCCAGATAAAAATTCAGGATATTTTACATCTTCCCCGGGATAACAACTGGATTTAAAGCGTCTCCCAACCCGTTTGCAGCGTCAAAGCTCAGCGGATAAAACCAGTGCAGCTCCTCGAGCCCGTGAGAAGATCATCAGTAAACACTGGGAGCAAACAGGCTCCTCCTGCACACCAGCACCGTGCTGGGTGTGGGTGGAGCAGCAGGAATGCCCCCAGTCCCCAGCCCTAGTGGGGTTTGTCCCTGTGCAGAGGCTCGGGGATGAGGGGCAGGGACGCGGCGCTGATGCCGATGACGATGAGGCTGCCGGTCACGCACACCCCCACGGAGCACAGGGTCTGCAGGGAGGAGGGCAGCAGCACCTGGCTGTGCCTCTCAGCCATGTCCCTCAGGATGGCCTCCATCTGGAAGTGCGTCCCCAGGATCCCACACACGTGGAAAACTTGGTGGCTGTGCCCTGCAAGGAACGAGGGGATGTGGTGACGGGAGCACACCTGCCAAAGGGCACCCCAGAGCGCAGGGTCAACCCAGGGCACAGAGAAACCCAGGATACGAAGACCCAAAGACACAGAGAAACCCAAAAATGCAAAGAACACAAAACACAAAAAGAATCCAAACCACAAAGACCCCAAAACACAAAGACCCCAAAATACAGAGATGCCCCAAAACAGAAGGAAGGGACAAAGCACTCGGGGAACTCCTTGGATGTTCAGCTTGTCCAGAGAAGCTGCCCCATCCCTGGAATGTCCCAGGCAAGGTTGGACAGGGCTTGGAGTAACCTGGGCTAGGGGATGGGATGGGATGGGATGGGATGGGATGGGATGGGATGGGATGGGATGGGATGGGATGGGATGGGATTTAAGGTCCCTTCCCACCCACACCATTCCAGGATTCTGTGATTCACTCAGACACTCTCCACACACTCTGCCCTCCCTCTATTGCCTTTAAATATTTACTCTACTAATTCCTGTGGCTTTTATCATCCTGCACAGAGCTCTTCCTTCCCAAATGGAATGGGAATGAGGGATGTGTTTGTGCCGCAGTCCTGGCGCAGGGATGTGCCCAGAGCTCTGGTTGTCCGTGGTGTGGCCGAACAGGGAAAACCCCAAAGGCGTCCATCCCATCCCATCCCATCCCATCCCATCCCATCCCATCCCATCCCATCCCATCCCATCCCATCCCATCCCATCCCATCCCATCCTATTCCATCCCAGTTCCTGGTGGCTGCTCCAGCAGCGCCCTGAGATGGCACCAGCTCAGGAGTTTTCCATGAGAAATGAGCATCTGGTGGGCGTGAAACCCTCCGTGGAAGATTTTGGAAGCAAAGCATTCTGCACAAAATATCCCCCAAAATATCCCCAAATACACACAAGCTACTGCCGTGCCCTGTCCAGAGAACCCCCTGCCACGTTTCCAGCAGGGAACACGTGAGCTCCTCTGGCAGCCCCTGCTGCTGCAGGCAGGTCATTCCCGGCGTTCCCGAGGACTCACCGATGTAGTCGAAGGTGCCTGGTGCCAGGCGCTCGGGCAGGTGGGTGGCGAAGATGAAGCAGGTGAGGAGGGCACAGCCCGTGTGTTTGTAGTGCAGCAGGATGGAGCCCTCTGAGCAGCCCTCCAGGGCACACAGGTACAGCTGCAGCCAGGGAAAAGCGGGATAAATCATTCCCGGAGCAGGAACAGCCGTTCCTGGACCCACAGCTGCAGGACCACCCCCCCTCGATCCCACATCCCACCTGCACCCAAGCACATCCCAGCCCTGCATCCCTGTCCTGCACCCACTGCAGCCAAATTCCCACCCTGCCCCAGCTCAGCCTGGAAAAGGCACTTTAGAGCTTCCAGAGGCAGGAATTTTCCATGAAATTCCAGCCCTACATCCCTCTCCACTGTTGCCAAATTCCCACCCCTCCGGTTCAGCTACTGCAAAAAGCACTTTGCAACTTCCAAAGGCAGGAATTTTCCACGCAAATCCCTGTCCTTACACTTCATTGCAGCCAAATTCCCACCCTGTTCCAACTCAGCCACTGGAAAAGGCACTTTGCAGCTTCCAAAGGCAGGAATTTTCCAGCCTGGGCCCTTTGAAGTCAAGGAATCTGCCTGTCAGTGGGCGCAGGAAAAAATACCCAAGTCCCTTTTCCTGCCGGGGTTTGTTTGCCTTTAGAAAAATAAAAGCTTGGCCCGTTTTCCCAAATGTTTTCGGAGTAAGATGAGGCAGCTGATATTCCCAAGGCTGCAGCAGGCCAGGCTGGGGGAATCCCATGGGATACACACCCTGTAGAAGAGGGGGATGCTGTCGAACAGGTAGGGGTACACGAAGGCCAGGGTGCGCCAGGCCTTGCTGAGCCGGGGCCTCTCCACCTCCAGGAACCTGGGGAACAGACGGGAATTCCGTATGGAACAGCGGGATACACTGCACTCTGCTGTCAGGGGGGCTGATCTGCTGCCCACGGATCTCCCCATGGATGTGCACAATTAGAATCCTGGAATGGTTTGAGCAGGGACAACTTCCACCGGCCCAGGTTGCTCCAAGTTCATCCAACCTGGTCTGGGACACTTCCAGGGATCCAGGGGCAGCCACAGCTTCTCTGCCCAACCTGTGCCAGGGCCTGCCCACCTCTCAGCCAAGAATTCCTTCCCAATCTCCCACCAACCCTGCTCTCTGGCAGTCCAAAGCCCCCAGGGATGGTGAAGGTGCCTCTGCTCTGTTCTGCTTCATTTTCTGGGTGCTGAAGCTCAGCCCAAGCCCTGCCCAGGGTGTGGGTTTGGAGCTGCTCCGACAGCATTGCTGTGCTGGGCAGGGGCAGGAGCAGGAGCAGGAGTTGGAGCAAGAACAGGAGCAGGAGCAGGAACAGGAATTGAAGCAGGAATTAGAACAGGGACAGGAGCAGGAGCAGCAGTGCCCAGCCAGGCCCCTCCTGGCACCACCTCCCATTGCACAACCGGGTTCTGGCTCCACTCCCACCCAACCCCACCTTGGAGAGGCTGCTGTGACCAGCCCGGGGGATTCCAAAGGGAATCCCTGTGGTGGGAATGGGTGACCCCATGGGGGTCTCAAGGACACTCTTCCCTCCCACCATGGGCTCCACCAGCAGCTTTACTGGGCCACACTGGGCTGGTATCTTCAGTGTTCCTGCTCACCTGGGGTGGGGGTGAGGATTTTTTTTTTTTTTTTAATTTTTAATCTTAGATTTGATGGATTCACCTCAGGAAAATTCTAGGAGACAAGAGCTCCCCTAAAGAAAATTCTGGAGCCAACAGGAATCCCTGCTCTCTCACACCCCAGGGATTGGTTCTCACATACCTGTACTTACAGTTTGGAGTAGAAGGGATGCTGACAACTAATTTGGTGGGTCAAGGATTTTTTTTAACCAATCCAAATTACTCTGGACCTGATCCCGAGCTGCTGATGCTTCCCTAGGGTATCTCCAAGTGGGAAGCACCGGGATTAGCACACGGTGAGTGGGTCTTGTTTGCTAAACCTGCCTAATGAGACACCAGAGAGATGCACGAGACAGAAATAAGAGGGGAAAGAGAGAAAGGGAGAGAAAGAAATGAGGAAGAGGAGGAAAAAAATGCCAAACCCCAAGACAACACAAAATACAGAGATGTCCCAGAGATGAAGGAAGGGATAATGCCAAAGAGCTTCCCGAAAAGCCTCAGGGAAGGACCTATCAGGAATGAAATAAAAACTGACCGAGTGAGAGACCCAGCACAGTCAGATCCCACCCTGGGAACCAGCTGGGTGCTTTGGACATGCCAGTTATTCCAAACTAATGGTCTGATGCCATCCAGGAACAAAACACGGCACACACAGCACTGGCTGTGCTTGGAGAGGGATCCCAGGGGCTGGAGAGTCCCCCCCACGCACAGGAACACACGTGGGCACCACCTGCAGCATCACCAGGGGCTCCCCACTGCCAGGGGCAGGGTTAGGTGAGATAATGGGAGTAATTCCTCCCTGGGAGGGCGGGCAGGCCCTGGCACAGCTTGTCCAGAGAATCTGTGGCTGGTCCACCCCTGGAAGTGTCCAAGGCCAGGTTGGACAGGGCTTGGAGCACCCTGGGCTGGTGGAAGGTGTTCCTGCCCTGGGATGGCCTGTGAGATCTCTCCCAATCCAAACCATTCTGTGATTCCATGAATTACCTCTTGAACTTCCAAAAACTAAAGCTCCTTCACTTTTATCTTGCACTTTGGATCATCCAGCACTCCCAATGCCAACACAAACCACGTTTTCCAAAAATCCCCTCCTTCCCTCTTCCTGAACTTCAGGCTCCCACAACCTTTGACTGATCCCCTTTGTTACTAACAGTAATGACTAATAATGATTAATGCTGATGTAACCCCAATCCCAACCCTTGCTGAGGGCTCTGCAGCAGCCCCAGGGGCAGCAGGAGCTCACCTGGAGTAGCAGGACAGGCTGGTGCTGACCACGGTGTTGAACACGGCCACGGGGACGTAGCAGTGGTGGAAGGTGGTGCCCACCCATTCCAGGGGGAACACGTAGGCTGAGTAGGCCAGAGCAGACCCTGGGATGGAGCACGGGTTAGTTCCAGACCCTCCCCACCCTCCTGGGCACGGCTGGGAACCTCCCAGGTGGTGCTTGGGGTTGGGAACTCAACTCTCCAACGGGGAGACACGGAGAGGTGGAGATGGTGCTCCAGCTGTGCCCTCACCCAACCCATGCCCTCACCCATCCCATGCCCTCACCCATCCCATGCCCTC